TCAATATTAAATTCAAACAGGAAGCATTTAAGATTTAAAGTTTTTATACTATCATCAATAAGTTTTATAAAAATCGATTGCACAAAAATGATTTATATTTGATAAAACGATATCGCAGTAATTAATTACTTATATTAACAAAAACAGTATTTTTGCAATATAGATATATGCATGATGTATTTGAATTCGGATAAATTTAAATAAAATCAATATGTTCAAGTCACTAAATGTTTCAATTCAAAGTAAGTTTATACATAAAGTTTTTAATTTTTGAAATCCTATACCATCTACATATATTTCATGAAATTAAGTACACAAAAATGACTTAAAATTAAATTTATTTGAGTTCGGATAAACTCAAATAAATCAATGTACCATTTAACTAAATACTAAACGAATTTATTTACTCATAATCGCGGTAATCAATTACTTATATTAATAATACAATGTGTTTGTAATATAAATATATGCCATGATGTATTAACATTTGACATGCAATTTACGATTAATTTTATGTCATTTCTTAGAATAATAAAATGACATGAAAAATATCGTCCTTGACCAGTACGATAGATATGAAAGGAAATGAAATAATAAACCACACTGACCAATTGACCTTGTTCAATATTTAATATTCGTTATAAGAATACTTATTTATTAAAATAATTGTTTACTAAATCTCAACGATATATGCATCATGCGTCATATATATGCATCATATATGCATCATGCGTAAATGTTAATGACATTAATTTGAAATGGTTGATATGCAAATTATTTTTCGTGTTTAAATAAGCAACACGACTTAATGCATAATGCATAATAATACAATATGTAAATACATGAATATATTAGAAATCTGTGTGCTAATAATGTATTACTAATTTGAAATGATAGGGAAAAATTATTGGAAATAATTAATTTCGAGTACGAAAATATGTAAGCTATAAAATCATTAGAACGTAATGTTTTAATATTTTAAAATGAAATATGTGTTTTTATGTATACTTATTTGTTTGGTGCAATATTCGTAATTGTTAAAGTTAAATGAATAAATTTTAAAAATGCATATATTTGAGAAATAAACAAATGATAATTATTAAATTTAATGAAAGTTAACGGTTGATATATGTCATGTTGAAGGATATAACTTGCTTAATTATTCACAAAAATTTAAAATTTAATTTAATAAATTGTATTTCACAAAAACATAATATTTAATTTAACAAATTTTGTTTTGCAAAAATTTATTATTTAATTCAATAAATTATAAATGAGCCATTCCTAAAAGATAAATTATAAAATGGGAAATTTTTCATCAAAGAGTTTACAAAGACTAAATTTTTAAAAAATTTCTTAAATTTAAATTTGTTACAAAATTATACAATCTTTTACTTATGGGCACAAATGTCGCTTGTCAGATTACGACATTTACAAATCTAAGAATTTAGTAACGAACATTTCAAATAATCAATCATTTTGAAACTTATCACAAGATTGATTATATTGGGAGATATGATTAAAATGAAACAAAATGATAAACAATTCCTTCTTTGTGAATTTTTCACTTTGCATTTTCTTCATTTATCAGATGATTCATTTATGCAAAAAAAAACAAATTAATTTTAATATTTTAAAGTATATATTTGTTTAATACATTTCGATTCTTTTTTTTTTCGGATGTTCTTTTTCCGAATTTTTTTCTCTTTTCAGGAAAATTTTTTAGACATTTTAAAAATGGATAAATATATTTTAAGTGTACTTTGTCGTTTTTTTTCTTTGGTATAATTGATCAAATTGTTTGAAAAACATTTCAAATTCATTTCTATTCTATTCCATCATTTCTTTTCATTCCTGCTGATAGCTTCATATGAAAATACAATATCTAATAACCAAAATAAATTTACATTTCAATTCACAATATGCTAATTCACTGAGATGAATAGTTCACTAAAAAAAATGAACAATTATAAAATTTTTTCCCAAATTTTAAAAATTGCTCTAAAAATTTCCAGTGTTCCTTATCTAAATAACCAAACAAATAAATAAGTAAATAGTTAGATAAATAAATAAATGAAATATATATATATATATATCTTCGTCCTTGAAATTTTCAATTACCCGTTTTTTTTTCGTCTTTTTTGCTATCTTTTAAATGACAGTCAAATTTTTATTTTACTTTTGTGAATTACATACTCTTTCAAAGAAAAGAAAAAAAATCCATTATTCAGTCCCTCTTTTTTTCATCATTTTTGAAAAAAGAAACGGAAAAAATTTGATTTTTTTTTTTCACATGGAATATTTTTTTTCTTTGTGTTTGCTTTTTATTAAATTCCCATATATATTCGTAATATGTTTTAATTTTGTTTTCGTTTTTTGGCTTTTTTTTTCATTTGAATTTTGCTTTTTGTTTTATTTTTTTCCTCGGGAAAAAACCAAAATTGATTTTGCACATATTAGAATTGGCGAAAGTAAACAAAATGTGAGAAAAACACTTTTTTTTTCCTCATTCTTTCAATTTTATTTTACTTTCAAATATAAAAGAAATAAATTTTTACAATAGTGATTACTATGCAATTAATTACAGAAAAAGAGTGGATAAAACAATTGAAACAAAGATTATCAATAAAATGATAGTAATTACTATGTAAATGAATATAAAATCATTAATTGCAATTATATTAAGCGAACGTATTAGCATAAAAAATTTTCGTATGTTTTATTTTTATGCTAAATATTTATGATTTTATTTTAAATTTTGCATGCGTATTTTTATTATTCGAGCTTTTTTTTTCAAATTTTACTTGTTTACCTTTTAAATCAGATATATGCAGCTAAAATACGTACGAATGATGTAAATAGTGTAAATTCAAATTAAAAAGAAGAAAAAAACATAATATTATAGTAATTAAACAAAATCTCGACTACCATAATCATATTTTGCTTCTATCAATTTACTTTTATCATTTGGAAATATAAGTTATGTTAATTTGAAATTGAAAAAAAGGAATTCGTTTGCTAATATATGCATATATATATTGAAGAATTTATTTATAATTTAATTTTGTATCACATTTTTCTTAATTTAAATATTTAAACATTGCATTATCCCATTTAATGTTAGATATTTCAGTAAAATAGATATTGCTATTTTAGTTAAAATTATTTTACACTTTCGGTTTGAAATTTTAAAATTCACATTTTAAAGTTGAATGTAATATTTGTAAATTGAATGTAAATTAAATGTAAATTGTAAATTGTAATATTTACATTTTTTTTTAAAGATCTTTCTGCTTGCATTATGCAGCTGCAATTCATATTATCTATCATACACTAATAGCATTCTTCATTCTCTTTACTTCATTGCCGACAAAATATTTCATTTCATAGAACGAAAAAAAAAATTTTTTTTTTCGCTCTTTTCAAAAAATGCGATGAAATTTCAAAGTTTAAAGATGAAATACCAAAAATTAAAATAATTTTTTTCATTTTTTTTATTTGAAATTTATCAATCATTTATTACAATTTTTCATTTCGTGATTTTTTCACTTTATTTTTAAATCAAATTTTAATTTTGAAATTTGAATTCCGTAATTTTTTCATTTTAATTTTAATTGTGCTTTTCTTCTAATTAAATTGATGCCAGCAGATAATACTGCTATCAACAATCAATTCATTGAAATGAACAACAGAGTAGTCAATAATAATAATAATACAATGCACATACATAAATACGATGTTTACATGTGTTGATATAAGTGTATAGAAGTAATCATGATTTAATTTTATATTACAATATTCGTTTTATTTTAGAAATTTTTTGATTTTAATTTTATTCACAATATTCGTTTTTTTTTCTTATTTCCAAATTATTAACATTAATTATTCTGCTTTATTAAACTTGCAAATTCGATAAGTATTTTTTTTAAACAGTTTTTTTCTTAATTTCTTGAAAATATCATTTCATTCACAATATTAATAAATTAATGAATAATTAAGTAAAGAAAAAAACGAAAAATCAGTTTCTTATTTAACCGTAACCTTCCAAAAAGAACAGGTATGAAAATGCGGTTTTGCTAAAAGAATACTGCATGTGTATACTGTATGGTTCATAGAGTACTTTGCATATATTCCATACAGTACTTTAATTGCGGGAACTAACCAACAAGCATACACTTTATGCCTTATGCAATATTTTGCTTATATTCCACAAGTATTTTAGTTGAAGGGTTGGGCTATAACATACTGTATGATTCATACAGTATTTTAAGTATGTTTTACACAGTGGTTTTAATTGACAGCATCAAAGCAGAGTTGTGTATACGGTATACCTTTATTATATGCAGTATTTTCAAATATTGCAGAAGTCAGATATAAATTGGCAACATTTAGATATAAAAAGATAACTCTGATAATTTCGAACTTTCTTCTAGCACTTGTTAATTACTACTTGTATTGAAATATTGTGTTAGCTCGTATTAAATTCTATATATATATATATATTCTTTTTTTTAAAATTCCATCCAATATTCCATTATTTCATTTTTAATCATTGTAAAGAAGTTTATCGGTCAGTTGATATCATCAGGATACTTCAAGTAATACTTTGAGCATTTTCTGCAAGAAGAAGGTTTCCGATTTCATTTCCTTTTTCGATTTCCGATTCAGTAATACAGATAGTTATTGAATAACCGTAAATTAGACTGCGATAATTATTGGCTTACTACGATAATGAAGGTTCAGTTCAATTTGATTGATAATTATCAGCAGATTTTATTTTATGAGCATAACATTGTATAATGATACTTTGTTATGCCACTAAAATTGATAATAATTAGCTAATAAACTGATGATAATAACTGATAACCGATAATAGCACGTAATGTGAAAGTGACAACTTTTGTCAATAATTAATAACCGATAGTTTGCATAACTAATAACTGGTAACAATTTTCCGCTCAATTTAACTTTCTATCAAAGTTTACAGGATGTTTTTCATAATGAATCGAAATCTGAAATTACTGAAATGCCCGATTATCCCGAATGAGAGCTCATATGAAATTATATCGGAAGGTCCCGTATCAATATGGTATTATGGAAAAAAGCAGAAGAAAACTGATTATTATGCATTTCAGGTTAATTAATAATGAATGCTATATGTGGGCATTATTTTATATTCATTTCTTTTTTAGCAATAAGTAATATAAAAATGTATTTTAGTTTTCATTATTTTATTCATTTTTATAAACTTTAAGTTAAATTTGTACTTACGTAAAGTATTGAAATATTTGCAGATAATTCGAGAAGTAATACCAATGCTCTTTATTACATTTAATCATCAAACATCAATTATCGCACAGTCTTCCATACCCATTTATATTCCTTTCGATACAAACATTGTTGTTGATGTAACTATTGAAAAAAAAAAAACTTTTTTTCTTCAATTTAATTAAATTAATTAGCAATATATTAGCAGAAATTTTTTGTAGGAAAAGAAGTAATTAAAAATTTTCCAACATTAACAAACAACAATCATGATAATTTAAAGCTAATCTCGATAATATTATCATTTGTGATAACATCCTAACATTGCTAATCAGGAAAATACTCTCAACTTTATGCTTTTCCATTTTTAGCTGATCTGATGATAATTTTACTAAATATCATCTGTGGATAATTAGAATAGCATCGTAAAATTTATTTCTATTACATTTCTACCATACAAACGAACTTTGATAAGCAAATTTAATGCTATCTTGTATAAAAATACCGTATAGACCATTTTCTTTTTACCATACTATATGATAAGATATCATTGTCTAGTAGAAGTGATATTCTTTTTAGGGTAAAGAAGTGCAATTATATCTTGGTGAAGGTTGTCAAATAACTCATAAAGAGAAGCGAAAAAAATATACGACAATTTTGAATGGACAATTTGAAATTCCAAAATCACACATTATTGTTTTGCATTGTGCCAATGTGAAACAGCAATTTCATGATGTCATACAGGTATAAGAAGGTGATAAAAAAATTATCAAAGAAATTTTGAAAAATACGATTAAGAAAATTAAAACTGATTAAAATAATTAAAAGGAATAAAACAAAAACTTGGAATAAGTCATAAAAATTAAATTGTTGTCATACTGAAAAAATTCATAACATTTTAATTATTAACTTAATGCTATCCATAAACTATTCTTCGGTATAGCATTTTAAATCAATCCGAAAAAAAATTTCCTGATTAAATTTTTTTATCAATCCAATAGAAATTATCAGCTATCTGCTGTTCCATACATGCTGTTTCATAATAAATAATTTACTCTATATAACAAGATATTCGTTTCTATGATATCATTCGCTAAAATTAATTAATCAATTATATTATTTAATTGTTTGATAAAGATTTCCAGGTAATTATCACAGATGGAATGATTGCTTATTGTGGTGGTAAAAATCACATCCTACTAAATACTTCTGATACAAAAATTACTGTTCTACAAACAGCAACAAATTAAAATAATTGAATGAAATTTTGCATAAAAACATGACCGAAGAAATTTATAATTACGATAATATTTCACTACCAGATGAATTATTTGCGCGGATAATTGCAATTTTCCTTAATTTCATCAATTTTGCATATATATTAATACTTACAAACTTCATCATTATAATTCCAATTCTTACTTCAGTTTGAATTGACAATCCATTTTATAATTTGTTATCAAATTATCGATAATTCAATTTATAATTTGACATTAACTTTAATTTGTCACCAGATTTCCAAATTTTGTCATAAATTTCGCATATATTATAATACTTTCAACTTATAATTACGGTAATATTTCACTGCCATACTATCCAATTGATTGAATAGTTTCAATTTCCTTTAATGTAATTAAATTTTGAAAATAATTATGTGAAACACAGTATATATAGGAGGAATACGTAAGAATAATATGAGTAAATTCAAAGAAAAATTTGTTTAAATGGATAGTAAAATGTATTGAAATGAATGTGCAATATGTTAATATTATTTATATTTGATAATTAATCAGCAAAATTCACCAACAATATAATCATTCCCACAGGGAAACATTACAAGAAACTTGGCAAATTACAAATGAATTATTAAAAATTTCCAGTTAAAAACAATCTTTTCAAGAAAGAAATACAACCATTTCCATACCTTATCATATCTTATCATAATTAATTAACCATCCAAATAATGTTACATTTTGTAATTACCCGTTAAAATAATATATACCTTATCCTCCTTCGAAGATTATTTTTGTTAATAAGAAACATTAATTGCCTCTGCACAGTATTAAAGCAATAGTATTTGCCTTGTTCAAACTTCCTTCTCTCCCTGCAGTAACAAGCGCATACTGTCTCTACAGTATCCAATACACTCCCTACAGCACCAAGCACACTGCGTTTGGTACCCACAGTACCAAACACAGACTGTTCATACAATATTAGCTATAAATCATTCTTTTCATTTTGGAAGCATTTGTTGGAATAAGCAAAATTTTTATTCCATTTATAAATTTTAACTATAACTGTAACTTTGTTTATATGCTATCATTATGAATCATTCGAATTTTTAATATGGCGCAAACATGTGATGCAATAATACAATATAACAAAAAAAAAAAAAATGTAAAAGTAAATGGTAAAATGTGCATTTTGTCATTCTACGTACGTGTACATACGTATACGTATAGATGTGACGTACATTTTTGAAATCGTAATCATCTACTATCATAATTACTGTTATTATATTTAATCCTATGTAAGTATTGCTTATAATATTTTCAAAAAAAAAAAAAAAAAGATACAATTAAAAAGAAAAGAAATAAATATCAGTATTTCTATCCGATCCGAAA